AACTGTACCTTTTTTTTTTAAAGAATTTTCCTCCTTGTCACGTATACTCAAGGTTTATATACTATGCTGACGTACCTCGTATTTAACGTTTCATAAAAGTCTTACCAGAATCTGATTATCCTTAGAACTTTTTCCTTCCCTAGACGATTTTTTCGACTTTCATTTAGCTTTCGGCGCTTTCCCCTTTACCTTTAATATTCTCCGTACTGTAACCAATTATATTCTAACTAGGAAAGATGCAGAGACTGGCGCTGCGCATCTTACATCGTTTCTCCAGAAAGACGTACATTCGTAGTGCTTGGAAAAACTTAAATAGCTTAAGCGAACTTGATGAGTTAGCCGAGGCTCTGGACGCTCTTATATCCATGTCTCACGAGGGTTGGTTTCTGCTGTGATACGTTTTCTTGCTTCTCTTTAGTAATTGCTCATCAATCAACTGACTATTAACTGGCCCGTTGTATAGAAAATGAATTTATTGAGTTAATTACAGTCATAGTGGATGTACTATCAGAGGCACCCATGGCCTCGGCTTTCCTTTGTCATATCATTGGTACTATAAGCGCAAATTTATGATGTTCGTCTGCTAAATCAAAAATTGAATCTAAATTCTTTACTATATTTCGCTAACATAGATAGTGCTGCACTTCCATCCAAAGAAACATCTCACAAGATAACAACAAGGCTCCTTCAAAAGTTAAAACCAGGTTAGCGGCAGTTATTACTGATAACTGTATAATTATGGTACGAATCATGATTATTCTTACTCAGACCATTGGCCTTTAGGTGGTATATATCGCACAAAGCCTAAGAAGCGTACTCGAGTGAACGCTGCTATTATATGGAGTGTGCTTGCCGAGAAATTAGCAGGTTTGTCTTTGTTGTAAGCTACTCAAAACGTAGTCATTGACTCTCACTAACATAAACATATACTTGATCAACGTAATGGTGTTGCTTTCGATAAATAAGGCGAGATAAGTTTATCCCTGTTTACGGATAACGTGTGTAATACGCTACTTGATTATCTACAATCCGATCCGGATTTTAGCGTTCGGTTGTTCGCTTTGATAGCTCTTGAGAAATTTGCAATGACCGGACAAAACAAGAACAAAATCATCACATCTGGTAGGGATATGCAGAAGACTCTACAAAATATAGCTGAGGAACTACATCCTGGGGAAAGTTCGACTGACGATATGAATCGTCGTAGGCAATTAAAGTTCTGTGTCGAATGGGCAATGAAAAACACATTCGGTATGATTCCATATTGTTGCACGCATGAAGCGATGGCATCTTTCCTATGGGGAAGCAATCCGCTCCCGTTACGATAATGTCGATGATCGCTTTGAAATTCATATAATGATCGACTTGCTAACTGGAATGGAAGTGCAGCACTATCTATGTTAGCGAAATATAGTAAAGAATTTAGATTCAATTTTTTGATTTAGCAGACGAACATCATAAATTTGCGCTTAT